CTTAAATATTACATGGAAAATAATAAAAGACAAAAATATATAACTTATTTCTTTATTTTACGTATTCTAAATATAAATTGTACAATTTATAAGCATTAGCTAATGCACATGCACAACTGTCCAGCTTGTGATTCCAACATTCCGGAATGGTTGGTTTTAATTTGGGCTGTTCCGGAAGTTCCATTATCGGCTTATTTATATACTTCTTCAGGAATTCTGCTTTCTGGTTCCCTTTAACAAAAATAATTCCAGCTGTCTTGGTTGCTCCCTCAAGGATTTTAGGGAAATCTTCGAGAGATACATAACCATCATCCCATGGAATACCATGGTGAAAATTCATGACCCAATTCGCCTCCTTTTGTAGCTCTGTTGATAGCTGATGAAAGGGAAAAGGTGGCTTAAATATATAATGGTAAGAAATTTTACCATTATAAATCCCCAGTTCCTTCACAGCCCACCTGATTTCTCCTTTCTTGTTACTAATCTTGAAGGACTGAATATCAACCACGCAGTCAGAAGTCATTTTTCTAAGGATGTTTAATGAATATTTCAATTCAGATACTAATATCTGCAATATGGTTATAAACGATAGGACAGTGCTTATATACTTTCCAAATGATCTCAAGTCAGCGGTTCTAACGATTACGGTGGGGAGTAACGAATCCATGAAACATTATACATTATTGTATAGGCCTTAATGGAACACTTTACATAACTTCATATGATTTTCGCTCATCATAAATAAATAAATAGAAAATAGGATAAAAAAAATTGTTCCCTTGACTTAAGAGACGATTCCAAAAAATTTCAAAGTTATTCACTCAGAAAAAGTGAAAATATGAAAATGTGGATTTTTATGTTTTCGAGGGTGCTCTTTCAGAATTCGTGATCAGAAAAGACCTAACTCGAAAAAAAATATGATTTTTGGAAAAATTTTGGATTTTAAATTTTTTTTTTGGATTTTTTTAAACATGAAATGAAAGTACCTAGAATACAGTATAAAGTGCGATAGATTAGAAAAATTTGACCAATGCTATTTTCTGAAAATCGCAATAGGTAGTACGTCAAGGTCACATATTTTTTTGGTTAATATCCAAAAATTTAACATGATTTGACATTCCCTAATCGATCTTGTATTAAATTATTCAAAAAATAAACCTTTAACAAAGATCCTATACACATCTGAAATTTGAACATTTTTGAAAAAATTTCTTAAATCTAAAAATGAAACAAATCGTTGAATTTTTTTCAAATGCTAGCAAGTTATAGTAGAGGATGAGTAGAGAAAAAATTGTATATAAACTTTATCGTCAAGCGTCGCGTACGAGGGTTAGGGGTAAAAAACGAAATATTTCTTAAACAGTTTTTTCGTTATAACTTGACTACTAAAAGGGATAGAAAGTTGATTTTTTTTTTGTTATAAAGAAGAAAGAAAATGCTTTCTAATGATGGTATAAAATTTGATTTCGCAACTAGTAAGATAATCGGGGGCGGGGGTAGCTCAAAATTTTACATAAGGATGAGAGGTCGCAATCTTACTTTTCGAATTCTGGGACATATATAATTTCCAAAAATGCAATAAAAAAAAATAAGCGACTTAAAAAAATATATATACCCATATATGTATCGTTGTGCAGCCCAGGATAATATCAGGTCGTTGTTGAACCCGCTACAGAGGATATTCATTAATTGTCGGTTGTGAAGCCCGATGAAGTATTTTAGATGTTATGCATGCCTTTCGACAGACATGGGTATTCTATAACAAACTTATCTTGTTTATTCTTATATTTTCCAGTTTCCAGAAAACAGTTCCCAGAAATTCATTTTTAGCTCGCCGCATCAATAACAATAACTTGGGCCATTTAAATTAATCATCATAATTTCCTGTGTTGATACCGAATTCTTTTCAAAATAAGAAATTGCAATTATTTTACATTAGACACGTTTTAGTTACCGCGCTGCAGTAGTTCAGCCCGGGCTGTTCGACGTTTAAATTTTGACATAAAGTTAATTAGAGTTTAAAATATTACCAAGAATGTATGCGTTGTTTATAAGACATCCATCAGCAAGTTTTGACACAAGCCTACTTCGAGAAAAGTCACTTATTTTATAGACCGTAAGAGTTCAATTAAAAGTCTTTTTTCTCGAAAACGGCCCACATTAGGAAGTTCTAACAAGAGTACATTATTTTTAGAAAATAAAATTACAAATTAGAAAATAGAGTCGGAATGGTTAAAAATCTAACCTTAAAAAAATTAGAACTTAAAATGTAATAGGAATGTAGCATAACTAGCGCCCTCTATGAAATATCCAAAAAATAATGAAACCAGCGTATTTGGCGTCCTTAAAAACCCCGGAATACCAAATTTCATAAAAATATTTCGGACCGTTTAGAAATTTTCGTAAAAATTCTATTTTAAAAATTTTATTTTGTCACTCTGTATCTCGAAAACAAGAGGAGATAGGCATATAGTTCATAAGATAAAACATTCTTATTTTTTGACGTACTATCACCCCCTATATTTACGGGAGGTCTTTCTGATACACCCTGTATGTACTTAAAAATGTCATTTTTCTAATCTTAAATAATAAATAACATTTTTTTTATTTTTAAGCTATAGATAGTGTCGACTTTATGTCATTAAATATTCATTCATATCATGTGCTTCTGAATACTGTATCTACTAATTTTGTAAAAATGTAAAAAAGTTACTTTTCATTTTTAAGATAACTGTTACAAATACACATTAATTAATTCAATAAGTTATCTTTGCATTATATATCAATGTGTGTAGTAGAATTATAGATATTTATTTTATTATAGTTAATACACTGCTAAAAATAGATAGAACAATAATTACATTCGGTTCGATGGTGGCCTCAGTATCAAAAGTGGAGCATTTCAGTAACTGTCGTCCATGGACCAAAAAGAATACATGTCCTTATTGTCACCTAGAAGTCACACATTTCCCCCGTCACTTAGAAAGAAAGCATGGAGACGAAGGAGCAGTGAAAGAATTTCTATCACTTTCTATTAAAGATTCAAAGCGGAAGCAAATCATAAATGTTATTCGTCGTCAAGGAAACTTTGCACTGAATAGAACAAAAAACATCATTCGGCCAATTAGAAGGCCTAAGGGGCAGTACAACAATGATATTGTAAAAAATTCTGTTAATTTGAAAGATAGATTTGTCGTGTGCGAATATTGTATGGGCTATTTTTCTAGAAACTATTTGAGACGACACAAAAAAATATGTGACTTAAACCTTAATCAACATGAAACAGCTTTCCGAAGTAATCGTTTATCTTAAGCTCAGCTATTTTCTATATGTTCAGGAGCAAATTACCATTTCTACGCAACTCTCAGATTGAGGAACGAGGTGTTTCCAATTTTAAGAAACGACGATATTTCGAAAACTGCAATGGAAGACATACTTATCTGTGCCTTTGCTGAAAGTTTACTAAACAAACACAAAAGACGTCAGATACGTAACGTAATATCTAATAAAATGCGAGAATTAGGCCGCCTTTTATTGGCAATGAAAAGTGTTACTGGTGTACAAACTCCTTTTAGTGCATTGAAACCAGAAATGTTTGACAATTTTGTTTCTGCAACTAAAATTATTAGCGGATATTGCTGTGAAACTCGTACTTTTAAAGCCAGCAGCCTAGCACTCCATATGGGCATAACATTGAAGCAGGTGTGTGACACAGCAACAAAATTTGTAATAAAAAAAAGCAAATTGTTCTCTTATGATGATGAAACAAAAATCTTGAAAGAATCAAACGACTTAAAAATTTGATTGAAGGACATTGGAATTCGGAATTATCAAGTTTAGCTCTAAAAAATATCAACGAGAATAGATACAAAAAGAGCAAAGTCTTACCACTTACAAGTGACGTAATTGTATTTGAGAAGTTTGTTTCGAATTAAGCTGAGCAGATGATGAATAATTTAAAGCAGAATACATGTTCCAAAAGTGATTACAAATGTTTATCAGAATGTGTTTTAGGTTTAGTATTGTTACTGAACCGCAAACGCATAGGCGAAATACAGTACTTAACAATAGATACGTATTCTGCACCGCTGAATCATTGTCAACAAGAAGACTTTATTCAATCACTTTCAGCATGTGAAAGGAGTCTCACGAAGAACTTTAAAAGAGTGGTTACATTTGGTAAGGGGAGCAAACCAGTACCAATACTATTTTCGAGAAATATGCAAAAATATATTGACAATTTACTTGAAAAAAGAAATGTATTCGTTTCCGAGAAAAATGAATATTTGTTTGCTAATCCAAATACAGAAGTTGGATGCTTGAGTGGTTATCACACTCTTAAAAAAACTCGCAGAAAAATCAAATGTAAGTGACAAGAGTCTTTTCACGTCAACTAGGCTACGGAAGCAGATCGCAACTGTGTTGCAAGTATTAAATGTGACAGAAGGTGAAATGGAACAGTTAGCGAATTTTTTAGGGCATACAAAAAAACCCATCAAGATTATTATCGGTAAATATCTTTATTACTATAAGTATTTAGACATAGGTATTAAAATATTTATATCCGAATAGAACATAATGGATTTTCAGCCAAAAAAGGGTTATATAAATTTATTTAAAATTCAAACAATATTTTTGTCACGAGGACGTTGCGGCAGGTTGATCTTTTTATTTAATTTAGTTAGTTTATTATTATTTTTGAAATTCAATGTCCTATTTTTTATTATATAAAGTATTACCCTTGGTATTACCTGATATCTCTTTTTCTGAATCACTCTATAGAAATAAAAATTAGTCTACAGAATTTTCTCAATTAAATAAAATTGCTGAATTTTAAATGAATCTATTCCCACCTTTCTATTTCGTCATTATGTCAGAAGAAAAATCTGAATATTATTTTAATCGATTTTGGACCATTTTTTATCAGAATTACATTATATATATATACAGTGTCCCAAAAAAATTTAGCAGCAGCCACGAGTATACTATATGGCCCAAAATAAGACAAACTTGAATATAATCAAATCATAATAGTCATATCAAATATTTCAATTTAAATATTTGATTTGAGTTTCGAATTCAAGATGGTGATAAGTTCTTAAGGGGACATTTTTTGAAAATTTATAGACAAGTGATTTTCGTCTTATTTTTTGTTGTAGAGGACACCACCGACCGCTGGGAAATTTTTTTGGAACACGCAGACGCTATCATTATCGACAGCAGTTGATAGATTTTGTCAAAATAACACAGTTTTGTGATATACCTTTCTTTTTTGAGAACATTCTTAGCAAGTTACGGGGCGATGAAATTTTTTTTAGGTTTTTACTACTTTCCATCTACACCGTAGATTGCACTGATTTGATATTTGGTATATGACATTATTATCTCCAGGGGAGTCCGAGATGGATGTCTGGCTACCCCTTTTTTATTCACAACTTCTACGCCACTGGAACTGTTAAAAAAACAGATTTTTCTGATATCTCCTTTAATTGTAAAGACAAAATGTCTTTTGAATTTTTTGAATAGGCACCAGTATTGAGAAAAAGTACAAATTTTGAATTTACTAACCTGAGAATACTCGTTATAAGTCGTGTTTTCTAAAAGTGGTAGTATAACAATAATATCAGACTATTAATTCTGAGTTTCCAGGATAAGCGGTATTAAAGATGAGTCGTATAATGTATGTGAACACATTGTAGTTAGTAATGGTAAAGGAAAATAGTAGAAACCTAGAAAGCATTTTTTCATCATCCCGTAACTCTGTAGCGAAATCTGTGATAAAGAACAGGTATGTATATCACAGAAATTTATTATTTTGACGAGATCCATCGGTAGTTTTCATCTGCAGCATCATCGACCTGTATATTGTAAATTGGTACAATATTATCCTCATAATATGTTTTAGGCTTCCCGAAGATGTACACCAAACGGCGAAGGTATCTAAATTACTACTCGCCATTAATTCTGGTAAAGGACACTTGTACCATGGCAAAACTTTAGAAGAAATCGAAGTATCAGATAATTTTGATTCAGATTCAGACACTGCCGGTAGTTCATCTTTAAATAATGAACTAATTCAACGTCAAGGTACATTGGTATTTGTTATGACTAAAAGGGTACGTTTAATCATATCTTTACTTATAGGTACAATAACAAAACAAAAAAATAAAAAGATTAGAACAAAGTCACCTACACCAGGCAAGAGCCAAGTACATGAAAATTCCGTCAGTCGTTCAGGTAACAACTGTTAAAGTGGGCTTTAAATTAAATTAAATTATAAAGGGTTATATAAGGGTTGTCCCCGACCTCCAATTTCTCGGGTGTAGAATGGTACGGGTACTCCCGCATTCTCGGGTTCCTTAGGGAAGCCCAGGAATGGGGTCTGTTCCATTGTCAGGGTTGTCGCTAACGATAAAGGAGTCCTTATGTCCAGAGTAGCTTCGACCACGGCGGGTTCCAATCCCACCACTTTTACAGGCATATTTGATGTAGGTTGCGCCTCCATGGCGCGCAGGTAAGTCTTGATGTCAGGGTATAGCAAGGTAAGATAAAGGTAAGTATGTATGTATATATATATAAAAGTATGGCATGAACCAGGCTTTCTTTCAGGTCCCCGGTCCCGGACGATAGTCAGGCCCTAATGCTGTAAAGAATTATAACATGCACCGTTGTCTGAATTGGAGTTCTCCAGGGCAGCACCTATCCTAGGATACTGGAAACAATAACTACCAAAAACCTAACTTCGCACTGACAGTCAAAGGAATACGTGAATTGAGTTATTAGTTTTTTAGTTCATTCCGGGTTTCCCACTACTGTAATCATTTGCATACGAGATTGTTATTAAAGCACTAAATTTGTTATAACTACTTGAATTGTCAATAAAGTTTATCAATCCGAACTACTAGATTAGTGTTACTGATTAGTCTCAATTCTGATACTATTTATTCCTTAATAGTTTCCAAATCACTCACGAGGCAATGTCTACTATCCGTAAAAACTCGGGTGTCAATGAACTATTACTTACCGTCCTAGCTCTCTGCTGGCTGCAAGACGGCACCAACACACACTTAGTTAGGTTTGTTTATTTAAATACGAATTCTTTTTCATAACCCCGATCTGGGGAATTAGGTACCAACTAGTGGTTTCTTAGCACTCTGGTTTAAGGGGATTGTTTAAATAAACTCCCGAAATGAAAGTATAACGGATATATTACGTAAAAGTATAAAATAGGTTAATCTTCTTGTCCAGAAGGAGGAATTTCAATGTCAAATTTGAAAGCGCGGACCTAGCTTAACAAAATTCGAGTCCCCGGGATCGATATCTGCCATCCTTTTATATCCCCTCGTGGAACCAGGCCACCCGGCATCGACCTCTGATTGGTGGAGACTTCTTTCCCCGATATCTCGCCTTTCCTTCTGGAAAGGGCATTCAATTCTCTTTCTTCTGATACCAATATCATTAAATTGCCCGAAGGCTTGTTCCTCTAGACTAACAATAAAGAGTTTACAAATAAGTATTTCATTGTCAGTACAACACATACATATACATATAGAATGGCATTATTATTGCCAGGTAAGTATTTTAATTAATATTAATGTAGATATATATATACAAAACATATGTATGTTATAATAATTATGGGTATAACCCAACAATTGGGACGGATTAAAGCGTATTATGTTCACTCTCTTGCTCATCTTCTTCTCCGTCGCTAATTGTAACCTCCCATTCGTCTGCTCCCGACATGGGAGCTGGCCTCTGTTTCATGCTAGATGCGCACTCCGTTCGTCTGCTCCCGACATGGGAGCTGGCCTCTACTTCGTGCTGGGTGGCACTCCACTCGTCTGCTCCCAACGTGAGAGCTAGCCTCTGCTTCGTGCTAGATGCGCACTCCGTTCGTTTATCCCCAACATGGGAATTATCTTTTATTTCGTGCTGTTCAAAATCCCGTTCGTCTGCTCCCAACATGGGAGCTGGCCTCTGCTTCGTGCTAGATGCGCACTCTGCTCGTCTGTTCCCGACATGGGAGCTATCTTCTACTTCGTGCTGGTTGGCACTCCGTTCGTCTGCTCCCAACATGGGAGCTGGCCTCTGCTTCGATCTGGCACCTTAGATGGACCAGGCTGTGGTTCTTTCTGTCGCTGCTCCCGATCATAACGTTGGGCAGGAGTTAGTGGCTCTCTAACGGGCCTTCTTTCGCCTTCTGGTGCCTTCCATGGCCGAAGGTCGTCTACGTGCATCTTATGGGGTACATCTCCTGTCAGCACTTCGTACACCCCATTTCCTAATACTCTATTCACCACATGTGAGCCGGACCACGGATTCTCTAATGGTCTTCTGGTTTTTTGGAATACCCTTGTCAAGACTCGGTCTTGAGGTTGGAAGGTTATCGGTGCCCCTCTAGGTTGAGGGAACAGGTTGCGATTGAATATTATTTGGCTTTGCCGGAGTCGGCGTTCGCGTTCTTGCCTGTGCAATTGTTGGTTATTTATCCGTTTATTTCGTTCTGGGTGACCCCACTCTCCAGGTCGGACTAGCGGCGCACCAAGGAGAGCTTCTCCCGGCGACATTCCAATGGCACTATTGTGCCGAGTTCTTAAAGAAAACAGTACCTTTCCAAGGACTTGGTCCCACAACACTTCTGATCGGTTGCGGAGGTGGATGCGGAACAATTTCTTAATTTCTTGGTTCTTCCGTTCAACAGGGTTTGACTGCTGATGATATATCGGAGTCGTGTAATGCCGGATGTGGTTGTTATTGCAATATCTTACCCATAGGGCACTCTTAAATATCGAGGCATTATCCGTTATGATCTCTTCTGGGCTACCCCAACGACTACTGATTTCTTCTATGAAATCGATACTAACTTTTGTATTTATTTCCGCGACGGCTTTAGCCTCTATCCATTTTGAACATAGATCAGTGGCCACTAGTAAGTATTTGTTGTTTCTTTGCGTTTCCGTATACGGACCCATGGCATCGATAGTTTGAACCGGCAGAAAGGGCATTCAATTCTCTTTCTTCTGATACCAATATCATAAAATTCCGCCTCCGGGAAAGGGGCAAAAAACCGGAAATCCGGTGACAGGGTGTATAGAAAGTTATAAAACTAAAATTATTTATCTGAGGCGTTGATATAATATTTCCTATTTAATTTGAATTTTTGCTATCCTGGAAAAAAAAACAGATTAATATATACACCTTTGCGCCAAAAGGAACAGTTAGGTTTTCATTCCGTAGAGAGATTCACAAAAAAAACACTACACTGAATACTGTGTTGAAAAGCGACATTTCAGAATCCGTCATTTGTATTGAGATGTTTTTTTAAAATGGAAAAAATTCCGAAACGTCGCTGTTCAACGTGAAGTGTTTGTATTGAGTATGTAATGTTTCTGTAAATTTGCTTTTGGAATAAAAATCTGATCATGTTAATTTATTAGTTACGGCATGGCAAATTTATAAGAATTAAATTTTAAAGTATTTAACTTTTAATCATATAATTTATAACTTTCTATTCAAATCCACTACCTACCTACCTCTAGTACTCTTATTTAAAAGTCCAGTTAGATTAATTCGATATTTAGTACCACTTGTTAGTGATAAATTTTTATCGTTGTTGTAGGTGACAATGAGCATAGCACAGACAAAAATATAAGAAAGTGGAATGTTGAACAGAAACAAACCATTACGACTCACTTTAAGGATTTTATTAAAAAGAAAAAAGCTCCCAGGAAAAAAGATGTCGAAGATTTTGTAACGATATCCGAATATGTTCGATGGTATTAAATGGGACAAAATCAAATCATACGTTTACAATAGCTATAAATAAGTTCAGGCTATTGGTTATTTAATTTTCTCAAATATAATTTTTTATTGACATTACTCTTTTTATTAGTTATTAAAAATATTTCTTTTGTTGCTAAGCAGTTTGTTATTTTTGACATAGATATACACGATGCATCACGGTGAATGGCCTATTAGACGTTTCTGTTAAACAAAATTACCCAGAAATCTGGAAACTTTATTCTGTGGGTTTTCAAGGGCGATCTATTCAATGAAAATATTTTTATGGGTCTAAAACTTCCGATTATACCAGAAGTTGACACCAACTTCGTTATTTTAAATGGAACACCCTATATTTTTTTACATTTTTGTATTCTATGCCTTCTTTATGGTTAATTTTTATTAACATATCCCACCTCAAAATTAAATCTGCGCGATTTTTTATCTTTTGGAAAAAGTCTTTGAAAACTTGGAAAATATTAACTTTAGGTATAGGGAATGCTTATATGGATCGAAAGGTATTAGAAATGTGTATCTAATGAAATTATAAAATATGGTTTGTTCCATTTAAAATCAAGAAGTTAATGATGTTTGCAAATGTAGAACTTTCGAATTTTTTCTGAGCACCCTGTAGATTTTGAAATACTTTTATGCTCTTAATAAATAATCTGATAAATTAAAAAAATTAAATTTAAATGAAATTCTGGAGTTAACTACAGGCAAAGTTACAAACCTCTAAATACAAGTCTGATTTACTTTCGGTATAAATAAAAGACGACATATCTCAAAAACCATTGGGTTTTGAGGTAGGGTTTTGAGGTAGGGTATGATAATAAAAGTTAACCTTAAACAAGGCGTAGAATCAAAAAATGTAAAAAGTTATAGGATGTTCCATTTAAAATAACAAAGTTGGTGTCAACTTCCGGTATACCCGGAAGTTCTACACGCATGAAAATATTTTCATTGGATAGATCGTTATTGAAAACCCAAAAAACAAAATTTCCAGATATCTGGGTTACTTTGTTTAACAGTAACGTCTAATAGGCCACTCACTGTGGTGCACCCTGTATAATTTATAATACCTTTACAAAATAATAGGTAATTAACTAAGTCAATCAATTATTCAGTTATTAAGTTCTTCGAACTTGTTATTGAAAATAAAATTGGAGAGATAACCACTTAAAACTTTATTGTAAAAAGTTATTACATTTATAAGATATTATTATCATCTAAAAAATTAATAATGCAAATTGAATGAAATGACATAACTGCTAAGATGTCTTCCAGCATTTCTTTCGCAAGGAATGTGGGAACCCGGTGCAAACTGATTTTTCGTGATTATACGCATACGGTAGCCAAGAACTTCGTTTACGGCGGGGGATTCGTCTGCAACCACAATTTACTAGAAATTGTACCTCGATGAAATTTCTATTTGGGCTCTGGGATACAACAACTTGTGAAATTTCACATCCTGCTGGACATTCTCTTCGAAAAGCAGTTCTCAAGTCCGTTAGATAATCGCAATCTTGTCGATATTGATTGTCCACTCGGTGATAGTGGCATATCCAGCGGTGTGGGTTTCGCCCTGTCTGGGACACAGGGTAGTAGTCAAACATCTGATACCCTTGAGGCACCGAATCTTCCAATATTTGTCTAGCTTGGGCCAGTGATGCAGCGTCGACGTTTTCGGTGCAAGGCATGTGATTTATACTTCGCACTAAATTTATCATTAGCATCAGAACGAATGAAATCATCAACTGCATGATCAACGCTAATCCGCAAATTACTTAAGTAAATCAGAATCCACGATTAACCACGCAGCCAATTGAAGCGAACTAACGTAACACACTAGGTACCAGAACCCGACTGAGAGTATTTCAACTTTTCACGGATTTTAATAGTCCAAATATGTATTAAAAAAATCTCTTTGTACTGTGCCGATGTGTGGACGTAATTGAAATTTATAAACAAATGTTATCGCTTCTTCGATCCGTAACATACTTAATTGTCACGGGTAATAAAAATTATTTACCAAATAAAATTCAAATTAGGCAAAATTTCTTCTAAAAAAATACCTAGCTCTCACTCAAATTTTGTGAGCTTCGTCAGGGCAAAAAAAATAAAAAATAAATAACAGAATAAAATTATGTTATGTAAATGTTGGTACATACCTTTTTTAATTGAAATGAAATTTCTTTCGATTAGTATAATAAATATTTAATAAAATAAAAACGTTACTTATTCATTTATTAATTAATACTGTATTAATATTTTATTAATAGTGGAGTAAAATCACAATGAAATTATGGCTTTGAGTGATTCCGAGGTATAACCAAATGAAACCTATACCATCTCGTAGAGGACATTTTGGGGCATAGGAAATAAATAAAATTTATAAGTACGAATATATGGCCACAGTTAAGTTCAAGGTGCTAGGGACACCCGACACCAATGTTTTGGGTAGACCAAATGTTTTGGGCTGGCGGAATGATAAACATGGATCGATATCGGGATTCGCGCTCATACACTCATACTTTTGTATACTGGAATTAGGTCCATTAGTGATGACGTCACAGCGCCATCTTGGTTAAGGTAGGTCATAGGACACGATGCAAACAAATATTTGTTCTCATTGTGGATATAACACGAAAACTCTTGTACTAGGCGAAGTAATATATTTATCTTCTTTTGTGAAATATATAGTTTTATTTTAATATATTTCTAACAACATATACAGCGTGTTTCAGGATTAATAGCAAAAATTTTAAATTTGAGTTGGCCTTCGAAAAATATGACAAAAAATTCCTATGGACGTGTGTCCGGAAATGAGTTACGGCCACTCAAAGATGGTGGTTAAAAAAGAGTTTTTAATTTTTTTCTCAAATTTGAAAATAGATACAAACATGAATTTTAGTACAAATATTCTACTAATTAAGGTACATCTAACAAGTATTTCTTCGTTGAAATATTTTTGCTATGACCGGGTGAAATCAACAACACCCCGTATATTTTTTAACCCAACTTTTCATTCATCAGGATGTCACTTATTCTAATACATGTATTTAATAAAATGATTAATTTAGGAACTTTCTCATCTCTTTCGTCTTTGTCATAAAATCGTCAGCTTTTGAGTAAAAAAAGTAAATTCGTAATCGTATTCCACATAGGTAATACGGCATAATTTGTTAATATGAAAGTTATTATAGTATGCTGCTATCAATTTGTATTCATTGTTGAAAATAATTACAAAGTACAGTAAAGTTCTTTGTGAATAAGTAACGTGGAATTAATTCTATTTATTACAACCCTTTATTATTACTTATAATGAGGTACCAAGGCTCTCAAGATACTGACGAAATAAAATATACATTGAACTATTTATTAAAATTAATAAATAAAAAATACGGTAATAAAGAATTAAAGTAAAGTTTAGAAAACATTTTGTTGAAAATGGTTTCCGCCGTACCCCCTAAACCGACCCTACTGAGTCCGAAAATGATCAATCGGTTTTGAGCTTAATTTTTTTTTGGCTTAGCATCTCGTAATAATAAACGGTTGTAATAAATTGAATTAATTCCACGTTACTTATTCACAAATAATAAGCTTTATAGTCATTTTCAACAATGAGCACAAGTTGATAGCAGCCTATTATGCGTCTACATTTTCTTATTAACGAATTATGCCGTATTACCTATGTGGAACACCGTTACGAATTTTACTTTTTTACTCAAAAACTGATGATTTTATGACAAAGACGAAAAAGAAAAAAGTTTCTAAATTAATCATTTTATTAAATACATAAATTAGAATAAGTGACATCCTGATGAATGAAACATTTTGATAAAAAATGTACGGGGTGTTGTTGATTTCATTCGCTCATAATAAAAATATTTCAACGAAGAAATAATTGTTAGATGTACTTTAATTAGTAGAACATCTGTACCAAAATTCATGTTTCTATCTATTTTCAAATTTGAGAAAAAAATTAAAAACTCAATTTTGACACCGCCATCTTTGAACGGCCGTTACTCCTTAACGAAGCATTTTCGGATATACGTCCATAGGAACTTTTTGTCAACTCAAATTTAAAATTTTTACTATTAATCCTGAAACACCCTGTATAACTTATTTCTCGTAGAGTGCGTATTTTTTTGCCTCTGATAAAAATCGCCCTGTATAATAACAAATACAATTACCGAGATTACATGTTGCAATTTTATTTTGAATATTTTCCTCCTTGATTAATATTTTCACATAGAATTGTATGAAAGAGTATAATACTAGAAGGTACCGCCATAAGTTGCACAAGTTTTTATTTTAGAGCCCTATTAACTGAAAGAAATCAAAATACTCAAAGAATTGCAATATTTAATTTAGGTGTTTAACTTATCTCAGCGGGATCAAAACAACCATATAAATCACATTGACATATATTCAAATGGACGTAAATAATCGGCGGGCTTACCAACGCGCGCGTAAGATCGCGCGATCAATCAATATTAGTATCCGACGAGAGCGCTGCCTCGAGCAGTCTGTCCAACTATTCCGTATATTTCTACCGATAAATGAAGCACTAATGAGCCCATATGAAATTTTGTGGAGGGGTTCCAATTTGTACCATGTGACATATTACTGTAAGATACACGTAAAACTTTGTTTAGCCCTCAGCCGGGCTACACAACGTCATTCAGGGCTCAGCAACGTTTCATTCGTATTTAAATATGGCTTTACAACGATGCATGAATATGTCTATATATATCTATATGTATATATAAACAAAAGGTGTCAAATTACAAAACACGGTGTCAAATTGCAAAACAAAGGTGTCAAATTACAAAACACGGTGTCAAATTTCAAAACAAAGGTGTCAAATTACAAAAGACGGTGTCAAATTTCAAAACAAAGGTGTCAAATTTCAAAACAAAGGTGTCAAATTACAAATCACGGTGTCAAATTACAAAACAAGGTGTCAAATTTCAAAACAAGGGTGTCAAATTACAAA